ATTTAGAATTTTACGCTGATCAAGTATAAATATTTTTTGTTAGGTCTAAAATTATTATTTCGATGAGTTACAAACGGAATGACGAACTAAATATATCCTCTATACTATGTATGGTAGAGGGTATAAAAAGGCTTCTCTCCACAGAAGACTCCAAGAATATCGTACCGCTGAAGGCCTTTCGATTTTTTTCTTATCTTAGAAAGCCGTGTAGATATCCTATATAGGAGATCTGTGGAAGGTCTGCCCCTAACGAGGTAAGGTTCTCCTATCTACAGACGAAAACAATAGTCGATTTTTAGACGTTTTAGTTTCTTTGCTTCAAATATTTTGATTATTACTTCGATTTTGTACAACCAGTAAAAATAGCATTTTGGGTGTGACTCTTAAAAAATTGAAATTCGGTTAATAATCTATGACTTTGACTCTTAAAAAAATTGAAATTCGGTTAAAAATCTATGACCCTAACTCGAAAATCGATTATGAAAAGATTTCATCACCAAAGGTCCATTTAAAAGAGTCGAATTTTGCGATTTCTGCCACAGAAAAATTTCGATTTCGACTTTTAAAAAGAAAAAGTGTAGTAATCAAAAACCGACGTAAGGATCCCTAAATGACATTTTAAAGGTCTTCTTTTGTAAAAAATCCCTTATATATTTTTTTCTCAATAAGGTTAAAAACTAAAAATACGTGACTTAAAAAATCGAAAATTGATTGCGAAAAGTCAACTTTACGATTTTTTAACACAGTTCGAATTCGACCTTCAAGACCAAAAATCGAATATAAAAATCGAAAATTGCAATTTCCTACTACAGGTGAGAGTCATCTTTGGCTTATATAGATTTTGAACGCGAAAATACAATCCCTAGACTCAGATCTCTTAAAGTCTTGATATCTTAGAAGCGCTTCTCACTTTCCTACATCCATAAGGTTTCTTTAAGTCTCCTATCTCGTACTTCTCATCTTTGGCTTATAGAGCTTTCAAGGTCAAAGGGCATTTAATCGAGAGTCGTATATGGGCTTCATACAAGTCTTAAAATATTTATATCTTAAAAGCGCTTCTCACCTCCCTACATCCATAAGGTTTCTTTGAGTCGCCTATAGCCCACGCTGCTATCCCTCCTGGCTCCTTTTCCTGCATTTCCTTTTTTGTAGTTTTTCTCATTTTTGATCCGACAGTTATTGATATGAACATTACTTGTCACTTTTGACATTTTGTCACCGCAAGGTACATGTGTATGTTGGCGCACTTGCCGTTGTCATCATACCAAATAACGTATCGTATCGCATCGAATGCGTAACAATACCATCAAACTTTGTGTCTGTCGGTCTGTCCGTCTGTCTGCCATGCCTGTCAATGCAGGCAGCCTTAAAGCGCAGCGGATGCAGGGTTTATTTTAAGGCTGTGCGAGAGCGCAAGAAAGCATGTGATGTGTCAACACTACGGCGTTTCAATGTTTCAGTGAGATTTACAAAATAAAAGTGAAACAGAAACATGCTAAGAGAATTGTTGGAATTTTGTATTTGGGCTTTGAAATTAACCCTTAAATGGTTTGAACGGGGCATTTAGGTTACTCAACGTTTCTTTATTGTATAGACGGAAAATATATGTTCTGAAAAACTGGATCAAAGACAAAAGAGCCAGAAGATAGGGTATAAAAAAGTCAAAATATTGATAGCAGATTGATTAATTAGTTTTAAGCGATTTTTACCTTAAGGAAATATTGAATTAAATGGAAACACGAGGGGATAAGATTTCGAATCCCATTTTTGATAATCGTATTTTCAATATTAGCATATGTAAGTTGTAAGGCATTAGCCAGGGATATGTGTAATGTACATAAGAAATCTGCTAAAACGGGCATATAAAGCTGCCCTGGGTTGGGCGCCATTTGAAAAAGTACACAGATTTTCTAGGTAATTATAAGAACATCGAGAAATCCTTCATGTATTCAATCTCATGTTGGGCGCCATCTAGGTATAGTATATAGATTTTCCTATTTCTCCAAGAAATGTTGATCAAGCTATTAACTCCCGAAATCGGAAATCGGTTGAAGATACATATGGGAGCTATATCCTAATCTGAACCTATTTCATATCTCGATAAAATTTGATGGAGGCTTTTTGAGCAGTATCAAATATCCGGTACCAAGTATCATTCTTGTGTGGGCCTTAAAAACCCCAAATCGGATGAAACATATATATGTGAGCTATAGCTATATCTGAACCCATTGTATCCAAATTCGATTTACTTGCTTCTAGATTGAAATGTGTCGGATATGGCAAAATTCAGGTCAATTGGACTGATATTGGCTATTTGGTGTACAATTAACCCGAAATCTGTTGAAGATATATATGAGAGCAATATACAAATCTGAACCGATCTCGATAAAATTTGGCAGAGGTATTTCCAAGCTCTATAAGATATCTGGTACCAAATATCATTGTTGTCGAATGCCTATTACGCATGTGAGGGACATAAACGTCCAAATCTATTGAAAGCTATCTCCTAATCTGAACCGATCTCGATAAAATTTAACAGAGGTATTTTCGAGCAGTATCTGTTGTCCGATACCAAATATCATTGTTGTGGAGTGCATATTACGCATGTGATGGACTAAATAAACCTAAATGTGATCCGATTATCACCAATTTCTATAGGGTTCGTCATTGGGCCAAACAAATATTATTTGGAAAATTTCATATCAGTCGGATAACAAATGCGACCTGAATTTTTTCACAAGAATATATGGACAGACGAACGGCCGGATAGACGGGCTGGCATGCATAAATCGACTCAGAAAGTTATTCTATGAAACTCCTCAAAAGTAACTATGGGTCTATCTCGTTTCCTTCTCCATGTTACAAACAAATGCACAAAGACATAATACCCTTACCACTAGGGTATAAAAATTGGCATTACTTTTAGAAAATAGATCCGATCAGCTTCTTCCTTCAATTCCCATTTATCCTATTTATGTGAATTTATCCAATTTTGATGCTTATTCATGGGCGCCACTAATGTTAGACAGCTTTTTACGAACAACTTTGAATCAATACAGGCGGATTACAGCACCCCCTCCGAAATCTCAAAAATGAAATTCTGTTACAGGCTTTGGACTTTGGAAGGGTTCTCCCCTCAAATCCCACTCATCTTCCATATCCTCTTTTATAAAAATAGGTTTCAATTTTGACGTTAGAAATTTGCTTGGGTGCCATTAATTTTAGGCAGGTGTTGTCGGAAGACTTTGGCCAAAACGGGCCGATTAGAACAATTAAATGACAATTAAAATTAGCCTTTGATCTACGCAATTAGATTTTTTCAGGTCCTCCACTTTCGTCTTCACTTTTACCTTTTAAATATAAATTTTATAAGAATAAATTTAAATTTTGCCTTTGGGTAATGTGATTGGGCGCCACTGATTTTGGGCAGGTGTTGATAGCCAAAAACTGGCAGATTAGAACTAACGTTTGGAAATATGACACATAATCCTAATGCTTCCATATTTCTATGGACCAAATAGATCTGTAACACAAAGGTCCCCGGTGCTTGTACAAAAGTACAACGTGATATAAATGTATTTAATTTCTTTGATGGGTAGATTTTTCGAAAAATACACTCAATATTGGCAATAACGCGTTCCGAAATCATAAAAATGTCATTCTGTTATAGCTCTGAGATTATGGCTAACATTCCCTGTCAACGTTTAAAAACTTGGTTTTTTTAAGGACAATAGGTTTTTCTTTTGACTGTGGATGTAGTGGTTGGGCGCCACCGGTGATGAACAGGTGTTATTTGACCACTATGACAAAAAACGACAGATTAGCAGATAAATTCCAATAAAAACTACACATAATCCTTATGATTCCATAAATATTTCAAAGATTCCAAATGCTGTACTACAAAAGCCCGGAGTGGTTGTTTAATGGTTAATCGAAATAATGTAGAACACAGATACACTTAATTTCGGCAAAAATGCTTTCCGAAATCATAAACATTACATTCTGTTATAGCTCTGAGATTATGGCCAACATTCCCTTTCAGCTTTTTAAAAACTTATTTGTTTAAGGATAATAAATTTTACTTTTGTTTGTGGATGTTGTGGTTGGGCGCCACCGATCTTGGACAGGTGTTATTTGAACACTATGACAAAACTGACAGATTAGCACAGGAATTCCAAAAAAAAACTATACATAGTCCTTATTTCAATATATTTCTAAGGTCCCAAATGCTGTGCCAATAAAAGTCCTCTGTAATTGTTCAATCGTTAATCAAAACAATGTAGAACGTGCTATAAATATATTTAATTCCGCAGATAGGTAGATTACTTTTATCAATACACTCAATATTGCCAAAAACGCGTTCCGAAATCATAAAAATGACATTTTGTTAAAGCTCTAAGAATATGGCCTATACTTCCCTTCAATTTTTAAAAATTATTTTTTTTAGGATAATATATCCAATTTTCAATGGTTGGGCGCCACCGGTAACGGGCAGATGTTATTTGAACACTACGACAAAAACACACCTATTCCAAAAAAAAAAAAAAAAAAAAAAAAAAAAAATACACATAATCCTTATGATTCCATAAATATTTCAAAGGTTGCATTTATTTAATCCCACAGATAGGTAGATTACTTTTATCGATACATTCAATATCGGAAAAAAAGAGTTCCGAAATCACAAAAATTAAATTCTGTTATAGCTATCAAATTTGGCCAACATTCCATTTAACATTTCCTTTCCACATTTAAAAACTAAAATTTTTAAAGGATGATAGGTTTCAATAATGGTTGGGCGCCACCGGTGATGGACAGGTGTTATTTGCCCACAATGACAAAAACTGACAGATAAGCACAAAAATTCTAGTTCTATGACTCCATAAATATTTCAAAGGTCCCAAATGCTGTACCACAAAAGACCCCGGTGCTTGTTTAATGGTTAATCGCAACAATGTAGAACGTGCTATCAATTTATTTAATTTCTCTGACGGGTAGATTACCTTTATCAATTCACTCAATTCCCGGCCAAAAAAACGGTGAGTCGTTAAAATGTTGTTGTTGCCACGATATTCCAATTCACTTTTACACTATTTAAACAAAACGAAATACTTGAAATGTTGCTTCGATTTCAAGAATTTTTTAATCGCAATTAATTTTAACTTTCTTTTTTTTTTGCTTTATTCTTTCACTTCTTTGCTTTTTCTGAAAATATTCGTAATTTTTTATTTTGAGACAACTATAATAATTTATAATTCTATTTTGTTGTTGCTGTTATCATAGACGTTGCTGTTGTTTTTGTTGTTATTTGTGCTGAGCTGCAATCTCTCTATTGCTATCCATTGGATACTACTGCTGCTATGCTGGTTGTTATTTTTTGTTTTGTTATCGTTTCCTTGTACTTATTGCTGCTGCTGTTGTTGGCGTTTTTATTTTCTGATTATGATTCTTCTCTTTTATTCATGACATTCATAGTAAATTCCTTAACACTTTTCGCTTTTGTGATTCTTATCTATTGAATGAATATCTTTTTTTGATTTTCATAATTTTTTTTTGATTCGCTTTTATTTTTTGTTGTTGTTTTAGATTTAACGCACCTGTTTTTTTTTTCTTCTTCTCTGCTCTGTGAAACACACACACACGACGCATTGACCGAACGACGACGTATGGCTTAGCTCGTTTTGTTAACCGTAATATGCCGTATGACAGCCGTTGTTGTAATTCAGCATTGACCAACACGCGCGATTTTAACCATTTAACCCGCCGTGTCGTACTGATTCTGTCGAACTGACGGTTCTTGGCTCAAACACCCAATGTCGTTGTGAAAGAAATGAAGTTGGTTGCAGGCAGACATACAGGCAAGCGAATCGGTTGCATGGGCTTAAGACACCATGCGATGGTTTGATCGAACCCAACATTTGCCATCGAAAAGTTGAACATGTTAGATGTTGCGAAACATTTCAGTTTGGGGGAGAAAATAAACATTGTTGCTGGCTGGCAACATGTTGCGAGTCGTAGTAATGTTGCAAAAGAAGCAACAAGTGGTTGTGGGCATGTTGTTGTGGGAAGTAACAACATACAGTTTGAAAGGCATTGCGTTACTTGTGTTACAGACTTTAGATATGAGAAAATCGGCATATAAGGTAGTTGTATTCATAAACTTTCTGTCGGAATTAAAATTTTCTAAAAAATTGAGTTGAAATAATTAAAGAAAAGAAAATTACAAATATTTTACAAGGACCAAGAATTGGATGGATGACCTCTGCAACAATATTTGTGGGGGGTTTGTAAGTTTGATTGGACCAAAAAGGTTTTAAAACCTCGAAGTATTGGTCCTAGTCCCATGATATTATTATATATGGATCTTCCTATCTCGCCGAGATGATTTGTTCTTCTGATATGTCCGTCCGTTCGTCCGTCACGCTACGGTTTAAAAGTATGACCCGATCCTCACAAAGTTTGGCATTTTAATTTACAGGTTTCAAAATCAGACCAATTGACAGAATTTTGCGTGATAGTAAAGTTTAGGACAGCCTTTTGAAAGGGCATCGGATAATATTTAGCGCGTAAAATTGACTTAAACTTTGGTGCGAAATCGTTTTGAATACCAATCAGCACGACAGAGGGTGTAAACATAGGGCCAACCATTATTTTCACTTACTTGTTTTTCAATAACATTTTTAAGGATTAGGACGGACAACTTTATAATAAAACTGGCGAATTACAATTTGCATTCCGAAATTGTAAAAATTACATTCTGTTATAGCCTTCTGACTATTGAACTAATTCTTTTCAGGTTTTCTCTTTAATTCGCTTTCATCTTTTAAATATCAAATTTTATAAGAATAGGTTTCAGTGTTGTTTGTGGATTTTGCGCTTGGGCGCCACTAATGTTAGACAGGTGTTAAAATGTTAGATGTTCTTAGAATACACGTTTCGAAATATTACACACAATCCTTATAGTTCGATATTTCGATGATCCAAATGGTGCTTGCTAAATAATTAATCGAAATCACGTGGAACGTGTAATTTATTTAATAACTCAATACCAACAAAAACGCATTCCGAAGTCATAAAAATGTCATTCTGTTATAGCTCTTAGATTATGGCCAACATTCCCTTTCAACCTTAAAAAAATTATTATTTTAAGGATAAAAGGTTTCTATTTTAGCTGTGGATGTTGTGGTTGGGCGCCACCGATCTTGGACAGGTGTTATTTGAGCACTATGGCAAAAATTGACAGATTAGCACAGGAATTACACAGGAAATTACACATAATCCTTATTATTCCATAAACATTTCAAAGGTCCCAAATGTTGTACCACAAAAGACCCCGGTGCTTGTTTAATGGTTAATCGAAACAATGTCGAAAGTGCTATCAATTTATTTAATTCCTCTGATGGATAGATTATTTTTATAAATACACTCAATATTGGCAAAAACGCGTTCCGCAATCAGGTTACAAATTCAGACCAATTGACGGAACTTTGCATGAAATTAAAGTTTAGGACAGGGCAGAAGGATTAGGAAAAAATATTTCTAAGCATGAATTTTTTGAAATAGTTTCCAATATTTACTAAATATTTTTATGAGTGTCCTGCTATTTTCAAGTATCAAAAATCGTGATTTTTATACCCTCCACCATAGTATTAAGATTGTAATTTCGTTTGTAACACCACGAAATATACATTTTAGACCCGACAAAGAATAAATATTCTTGATCAGCATGAAATTCTATGTCGATTTAGCGAAGTCCGTCCGCCTGTCTGTCTGTCGAAATCACTCTAGCTTCCGAACGAAATGAAGTAGATTGATAAAATTTGACTCAAATGCATATTATGTCTTCAGGACTTTTGGTATTGAAAATGCGCCATGTAGGTCCACGTCTTCATATAGCCCTCATATAACGGTACCTCCCGATATCCGGAATTTTGATGATTTTAGCAACATTATTTACCGGAATAGTTTCAAATTTGGTATTTGAGGTTCGTCATGGATACTACAGCCTAAGACAGAAAATTGTCTGTGCAAGTCCACGTCTTCGTATAGTCTCCATATAACGGTACCTCCCGATATTCGATATTTTGATGATTTTAGCGACATTATTCTCCGGAATTGTTTCAAATTGGGTATTTGAATTTCGTCATGGATACTACAGCCTAAAACAGAAAATTGTTTGTGAACGTCCACGTCTTCGTATAGCCTCCATATAACGGTACCTCCTGATTTTATGATTTTAACGACATTATTCACCGAAATTGTTTCAAATTTGGTATTTGATGTTCGTCATGGATACTACAGCCTTATATAGAAAATTATCTGTACGGGTCCACGACTTCGTATAGTCCCCATATAGCGGTACCTCCCCATGTTCGGTATTTTGATTATTTTAGAGACATTATTCACCAGAATTGTTCCAAGTTTGGTATTTAAAGTTCGTAATGGATACTTCAGCCTAATATAGAAAATTGTCTGTGCTGGTTCACGTCTTCATATAGCCCTCATATAATGGTACCTCCCGATATTCGGTATTTTAATGATTTTAGCGACATTATTCACCGGAAATATTTCAAATTTGGTATTTGAAGTTCGTCATGGATACTACAGCCTAAGACAGAAAAGTGTCTGTGCAGATCCACGTCTTCGAATAGCCCCCATATAACGATACCTCCCGATATTTGGTATTTTGATGGTTTTAGCGGCATTATTCACCGGAATTATTTGGTATTTGATGTTCGTAATGGATACTACAGCCTAAGACAGCTAATTGTCTGTGGAGGTCCACGTCTTCGTATAGCCCTCATATAACGGTACCTCGCAATATTCGGTATTTTGATGATTTAAAAGACATTATGCACCGGCATTGTTTTGAATTTGGTATTTGAGGTTCGTAAGCCTAAGATAGAAAATTGTCTGTGGAGGTCCACGTCTTCGTATAGCCCTTTTATATTTTTATTTTATATTACTGGCCAAGAATATGGATAAAAAAACTTTACTTGCCAAATCTATTGTTTTTAAAACAAGCACTTCAAAGCCAAGGGCCATGAGTTTTTTTAAAGGAATTTTAAATACTTTATTCAGAAATCGTATTTTTTTACATCGACAATTTTTTTTGTAAATAGTTTGCAAGGACTTTTTAGAAATAATTTCCAAGGGAGGACTCTAAACCGTAAATTTAAAAACTCAAGGACTTTCTTACCAATAATCGAGGATATACTCAAAATATTTTTTAAGGACTTCCTGGGAAGAATTACATTATTATTATTTTTATACCCTACAACACTATGTGTTGGGGGTATTATAAGTTTGATTGGGCCAAAAATTATGTAACACCACGAAATATTGGTTTCCCACATAGGAAAGTATATATAGATCTTCCTAGCTCTCCGAGCTGAGTCGATCTAGCTATGTATGTCCGTCCGTCTGTCCATGTTAATTTGTAATCACTCTACAGGTCGCAATGGACCAAAAACTGAAAAAATTCCTGATTTTGAAGTTGCTCTACAGGTCGCAATTATAGACAAACGACACGGAAGTAAGCATAGGGCTAGAGCTTAGGGCTGGGCGGAAGCCTTCCAATTTTGATGGTCATCGGGTAATAGTTAGTGGGTGAAATAGGCCACAACATTTGTGTTAAATAAAAGTAAAATTTTCCATTAAACCGCGAATATTTTTAATGCCGGCGAAATCACAAATAGACAAATAGGTCAATTCTGACCGTTACGTAGATACCGATAGTAAAAATATCGGATATATATAGCGAAATATATACAATGTATATATACCAAGGAAATGCTTATATCTGAAGAATGACTGGATCGATTTTGAAAAATTTTGTGAATTCAGAATGCCCTCTTGGCGTAAAAGGATAAAATGTAAAAATATCGCATAAAAAGATGCCAATAATGATGTTAATATAGATTTTGTAGTATTTTGTGACATTTTTTTTTTCATATTTTTTATCGCATGCGTTTTTTCAATTTGACTCATAATATTGAAGTGTGTATTTTGTAATATTTTTTCACCTTACAACACAGGTTGGGGATATTATATACAGATTACAATTATCGTCCGATCCTCACGAAAATTTTCACAAGGGTAGGGTTGGGCTCAGAAGGGCTAGACCTATTGTTTTCAAAGATGTCCGCAATAAATTTAGGGGTTGAAATGGACCTACAACTAAAAATGTTCCTGATTTTGCAGCCATTATAAAGGTCATAAATAGAAAGCAAGGGACACGAAATCTCGTAGTTGGAATTTAGGACAGTGGGTAGAATGGAACACTACTTTTGTGTGAAAAATACCAACATTACTTACAGGCGATATCCAAAATACACAAAAAGGCGAACTTCTGGCTTTTTATGCTGATATAGCCAAATATCATAGGGAAGAAATCTAGCATTTTGGATGACCATTGGATTATATTTAGCTGTAAAATGGATCACAACAACAAAGAGCACAACGGAGTTCGTAAATATAGGGCAAATGTTACTGGTCAAAATGCTGGGCAGTGCTCCGTGACATAATTTCAAAAGCGAAATCTTCCAAAATGGATTTGGACATAAGAGGGCCTCTAACATGTTGTAGTGTTGTAGGGTATCACATGGTCGGCCCCGCACGACTATAGCCTTTGCTTACTTGTTTTTAATGCATGTTCATATAATTCCTCTTAGGAATCGTGGATTTGTTTTTAAATACTTTCAAGGACTTCTAATTAAAATATGAATTTAAGAAATACTTTTCAAGCAAGTATTCAAAATTAGGGGTTTTCTTAAATATTTTTCAAGAGACTGCCTGCTCTCAAAAAGTCAGTTTT